CCGGGGGCGGCCAGGGCGCGGCGCCCCCCGACGAGCGCAAGAGCGCCTTCTCGCAGCCCGCGCGCTCCTTCGCGCAGCTGTCGCCGCTCCTGCTGTGCCAGAAGCTGGGCGCGGTGGAGCCGCCGTGCCACCCGGGCGGCGACGGCGTGGGCCCCACCAGACTGTACCCCGCCGCGGCCGCCGACCCTGCGCTGGCCGCCGTGAAGCTGCAGGGCGCCGCGGACCTGAACGGGGGCTGCGGGGCGCTGGCGGGCGGCGGCGGCGGCGGCGGGGGCGGCCTGCCCAAGCAGAGCCCGTTCCTCTACGCCACCGCCTTCTGGCCCAAGAGCTCCGCCGCGGCGGCTGCGGCTGCGGCGGCGGCGGCGGCCACCACCGGCCCCCTGCAGCTGCCGTCCGCGCTGACGCTGCTGCCGCCGTCCTTCACGTCGCTGTGCCTGCCCGCGCAGAACTGGTGCGCCAAGTGCAACGCCTCGTTCCGCATGACGTCCGACCTGGTGTACCACATGCGCTCGCACCACAAGAAGGAGTACGCCATGGAGCCCCTGGTGAAGCGGCGGCGGGAGGAGAAGCTCAAGTGCCCCATCTGCAACGAGTCGTTCCGCGAGCGGCACCACCTGTCCAGGCACATGACCTCGCACAACTGACCCGCGCGCGCGCGCGCGCGGTGGGACGGGGAGGGGGGAGGGGGCGAGGAAGGGGGGGCTGGCGCTGGTGCAGTCCGCCAGAGACAAAGAGGAGCAGAACCGGAAGCGTACATCAAAAACGGACAGCTGTTTTACCGCTCTCTCCGCAGGATCGCCAAAGACGAGGAGCTGCTCGTTTGGTACGGGAAGGAACTCACCGAGCTGCTCTTGTCTGCCCTTCCCGATGCATGGGCAAAATGAACGGTAGGTTGGTCGGGACGCCCCTCCCCACGCCCACACACACACTTGTCGCGCGCGCCGCTGCGGTGGGTGGGCCTTCGCGGGCGCGCGTCCCGGGAGGGGGCGCGCGCGCGCGGTGGCGTGGTGGCCGCCTGTTGTCCCCCCACCCCCCACACACAAAAGAGGCTTCTGAGATTGGGCTCAGACAGCCAAGCTGGGACAGCACAGGCGAGGCCAACCGGGGGACCCTGGAGAGATGACTGCAACCCCTCCCCAGCGAGGAGGGAAGGTTCGATCAGGGCGCACAGTGGCTTTTTGCAGGCCTGGAGACGCAGGGAGATTGCGAAAGCGGGGTGGTGGCAACCAGGCCTGGGGCGATGCTGAGTCACCGTGCGGTGTCTTTCTGTGTGTGTGTTGTGTGCGTGCTCGCTACCAGGGTCGTCCTCCTACACATGCCTGGAGTGCAGCCAGCATTTCCAGTTCGAGTTCCCCTACGTGCGGCACCTGCGCTTCCGCTGCCCAAAGAGGCTGCACAGCGCTGCATCGCCCCCACGACGACCAGGGCGCCAAGACCACGGGGGCGGCGGCGGCAAAGACCAGCAGCAGCAGCCGCAGCAGGCAGGACGCGCCGCTGGGCCCCAAGTTCTGCAAAGCGGGCCCCATGCACCACTACCGGCCCGCGCCCCCGACGGCGCCAATGCGCCCGCGGGCCCGGAGCGGCGGCGGCAGCAGCGGGGGCGCGAAGCCGTCCACGGACTTCCACAACCTGGCCCGGAGCTGGAAACTTCGCGCGGGGGGCCGCAGCTGCTCCCGCGCCCCAGGCTGGAGGTGGCGGTGGCGGTCGGCGGTGCGGGCGCCACCAGGATGCCGAGCTGGTCCCGACAGCGCGCGGCCGGCGGCAAAGCCAAGAGAATTTCCGAGGACGCGGCGGACGGCGCGGCGCGGGGCTGGCGGGGGCCCCGGTCGCTTCCCGAGCGGCCCCCGCCCGCGTCCAAGGAGGACCTGGTGTGCACGCCGCAGCAGTTCCGCGCGCGGGCAGCTACTTCGGGCTGGAGGACCACGGGGCCGGCTCTTCGCCGCGCCGCCCAGCCGGAGACGGGCGAGGCCAAGCGCAGCGCCTTCGTGGAGGTGAAGAAGGCGGCGCGCGCGCGGGGCGGGCCGCAGCAGGACGAGGCGGCAGGGACGGCGCGGCGTCGCCAACGAGGACCAGGACGCTGCCGGCGGCGGCGGGGGTGGCGGGGGTGGTGGAGCGGAGGGGCCCGCCACGCCCGCAGCCGCGTCGCCGCCGTCGTCGGGGGGCTGCGTTCGTCGCGGACAAGCTGCTGGCCCGCGGGCGCCGGGCCGCGCTGCCCGGCCGGCTGGACGGCGCAGCCCCGGCGGGCAGCGCCTTCACGTCGGTGCCGCAGCTGGGCGGCGGCGGCGGCGGGAACGCGGGGACCCGGCGGCGCGGGCACAACGATCTGAGCGATGCACACAGTGTTTCGTGCCATGGGTTATCGTACCTAACCGGCTATACAAACAGGAGGAACACAGGCCCCAGGTTTAGGCCAGATTTTTGGAAAGCTTGGTCTCAGATGATTTTTTGGGGGGAAAAAAAAAAAGACTGTAACATGCAGAAAACGATGTTGGTTTCCACCTCTGGCTTCCTTGTCTCATCTGTGCGTCTCTCTCCTCCTCTTCTCTCTTGCCTCTTTTTTTTTTTTTTTCTTTTCTTTTCTTTTTCCCCTTCTGTTTTAAACTGTGCAGGTAGACACCTCCGCGGCGAACGGTTCCTCCGAAGGCCTCATGTG